TGAGAAACTTGGATTTTTAAAAAGACATATGTAAGATGGAAGCAATTAACATGTTAATTTTATAAGGCAATATAAAAATGTCATAAATAATATCAGAAATGACATAGCTCAGGATGAATTCAATCAGTTAAAACCACTTAGTAAACACTTATTGTGTGGCAAGTGCTGGAGATACAGAGAAAGAAAAAAATAGGCCTGTCCTCAAGGGGCTCACATTCTAAGGAGAGGAAAGGTGAGGGGGAAGGGAGACACTATGTAAATGCCTATGAACATACAAGATACATACAGAGTAGACAGAAGATAGTTTTAGAGTGAGAGCAGGAAAGTTAGGGACAGTAAAGGAGTGGTGGGGGGTTTTGGTAAGTTATATTGGGGAAAAGAGGGAGATCAAAAACAAATATAGGGGGGCAGCTAGGTGGTGCAGTGGATAGAGCACTGGCCTTGAAGTCAGGAGGACCTGAGTTCAAATCTGGCCTCAGACCAAACACTTGACACTTACTAACTGTGTGACCCTGGGCAAGTCACTTAACCCCAGTTGCCTAAAAAAAAAAAAAATGAATATAGGAAGACTGCTTGAGGTGAATGATGATGATGATAATAATAGTAATAATAACCAACATTTATATAGCACTTACTGTGTGCCAGGCACTGTGATGAAGTGCTTTACAATTATGATCTCATTTGACCCTCATAACAACCCAGGGAAGTGGGTACTATTGTTTATCCTCATTTTACAGATGGAGAAAGTGAGGCAAAGGTTAAATGACTTGCTTAGGGCCACACGGCCAGTGTCTGAGGCTAGATTAGAACTCACATTTTCCTGACTGCAGACACAGTCCACAGTCCATATCCATTGCAGCACCTTGCTGAGAAACTGATAATTATAGCTATCATTTATATAATTTATATAGCATTTTAAAGCTATCATTTATGTAGTACTTTAAAATTTGCAAAGCCCTTTACATATGTTAGCTCATTTTGATCTTCACAAAACTGTGAGAGGGGTGTTATTTTGATGTTCAGCTGAGTCTGAGTCTTCATGACCTCATTTGGGGTTTTCTTGGCAGAGATACTAGACTGTTTTTTTTTTTTTTTTGCTTTTTGGTGAGGTGATTGGGGTTAAGTGACTTGCCCACGGTCACACAGCTAGTGTCAAGTGTCTGAGGCCGTATTTGAATGCAGGTCCTCCTGACTCCAAGGCCAGAGCTCTATCCGCTGTACCACCTGGCTGCCCAGATACTAGACTAGTTTGCCATTTCCTTCTCCAGCTCATTTCAAAGATGAGGAAACTGAGACAAACAGGGTTAAGTGACTTGCCCAGAGTAACACAGCTAGTAAGTGTCTGAGGCCAAATTTGAACTCGGGAAGATGAGTCTTCCTGACTCTAGACCTGGCACTCTATCCACTGTGCTACTTGGCTGCCTGGTACTATTTTATAAATGGGGAAATTGAGACAGAGAGGTTGTGAGTTGCCCAGAGTCACACAGCTGCAACCCCATCCTTCAGTTTTCCTTGCCTTGTCTGAGGGGACTCAAACTCAAGTCTTCTAGACCCCAAGTCCCATTTCTCCTGATAGTGCCGGTATGGGTTTAGGAGGGTGAGCTCCACCCAGAGTAATGTCCAAATTTCAAAGAAGTCCATCCGGCTGCTTTGGAAACAATGAATGAACAACTCGCTCCCTTCTCAATAGTATTTCCCCGAATCCAGGCATATCCCTGGGACTGTTCTTAGGTTGCCTCATCTCTAAATCCTTTCCTTTGACCTCCTTGCATTCTCCCATGCTTCTTTGCTCTCTGAGTTCAAGGGTTAACTGAAGCTTAAGTAACATTGGGGTCTGAGCCAGCAGCCCAAGGGGAGGGGACCTTGGCAAGGCTCAGAAACGGGACTTCTCTTCTCTCTTCTCCCAGTCCCAGTCTGTGTTGAGGCCCTGATTGGCTCCGAGTGAATATAAATAGCAATCCTTTCTGTTTTGGGCAGAAACCCTGTGGGGTCTTCCCCTCCCAGATTGATTTTTTTTTTCTTTTTTTGACCAGGTATAAGTGGCCATTTTCTGCCTCATTTTTTACCTAGCCTTAAACTACTGAATGGGCTGAGACTAGTTAAAGACCTTAGCTTAAAAAGGTCAAGGTCTTCCACTGCATCTAGGGCCATCTCCAGTTGTCCTGATCTATGATCTATGACCACTGAACCCTGATGACTCCAGAGGAGAAAGTGAGGCTGGCGACTTTGCACAGCCCTCCCTCACTTAGATCCAGTTCATTTGTATGTCAGTCATCATCTCCCTGACATCATGGTCCTCTTCGAGAACAAAGGACAATTGCCTCTGGGGAAGGAAGAAGAGGAATTCCTTGGAACTCCAGGGTGGCTACCCTAAGGCTCATCTAAAGTCTGTCTCAAAACCTTTCCCCTTCTTTCCGCTACCTCTTGCTAATAATCCTCTTGTGAAATACTTTGCCCCTCAGAGTGAACTGAAGAAAGAAATCACTCCCAGTCCATCCCTTTCCTGGAACACTATAATCTATTCCTGGGCTCCTTTTTTTGCCTGGTTCCCCTCATGGGGTATCATGCCCTTCCCTGAGGGTACTCTGCCCAAAGGACAGTAAATTTTGATGGCCAAAACCTACCTAGTTAACTTGGGATTTACTGGCTAGATTTCTTTCTCAAAGACCAAGCCTTAAACCTAATTCACTGTGGATCTCCTTGATCAGACAACAACAGGTCCCTGCTCTGCACAAGCACCACTTAATGATTATTTTTTGGGCCTTCAGAGCGAATGTAAATAGTAACTGTTTCTCTTTTGGCCAACAACCCAGAGGGTCTTCCCCTACCAGACTGATTTATTTATTTATTTATTTATTTATTTTTTTAATTAAAGGGGCCATCCCTAGACTCACTTCTTACAGAGGCCCATTCACTGAATGGGCTTTACCTCACTCAAAGTGGGAACTTGAAAAGACCTTAGCTTAAAAAGGCCAAGGTCTCCCACTGCCTCCTGGGCCATCTCCAGTCATCATTATTGATATCTGGCCATTGGACCCAGATGGCTCTTGAGGAGTAAGTGAGACTGGTGACTTTGCACAGCCCTTCCTCCCTCAAATCAAATTCAATTGCAAGTCATGTCATCATCTCCCTGATGTCATGGTCCTCTTTGAGAGCGATGGTCAAACCATAACCTGTAAGTAGACCCGAGCTGCCCTGTTGGGGACCCAGGTGGCCAGTCCCAGTTGGGCAACTCAGCTCCTCCTTCTCTCCCTTCCTCTCCCCTCCCCTCTCTGAAACCTACCTAGTTAACTTGGGGCTTACTGGCTAATTTCTTTGTCTTCCTTTCCCTGATGTCCTGGTCCTCTTCTAGAACAAAGGACAGACAGCAATCCTAATTGCCTCTGGGGAAGGAGGAAGAGGAATTCCTTGGAACTCCAGAGTGGCAACCCTAAGTCTAAAGTCTGACTCAAAACCTTTCCCTCTTGTGAAATACTTTGCCCCTCAGAGTGATCTGAAGAAAGGAGAAGTCACTGCCAGTCTATCCCTTTCCTGGAACACTAGAATCTATTCCTGGGCTTCTTTTTGCCTGGTTCCTCTCTTTTATGTAGGGCCCAGATGTCCCTGAAACTTGAGGCTCAGGGGCAGCTAGGTGGCACAGTGTATAGAGCACCAGCCCTGGAGTCAGGAGGACCTGAGTTCAAATCCAGCCTCAGACACATAATACTAGCTGCGTGACTCTGTGCAATTCACTTAACCCCAATTGCCTCACCAAAAAAAACCCAAAAACCACAAAAAACTTTTGGGGGCAGCTAGGTGGCGCGGTGGATAGAGAGCTGGCCCTGAAGTCAGGAGGACCTGAGTTCAAATACGGCCTCGGACCAAACACTTGACACATACTAGCTGGTGACCTTGGGCAAGTCACTTAACCCCAATTGCCTTACCAAAAAAAAAAAAAAGAAAGAAAGAAACAAAGAAAGAAAAGAAAAGAAACTTGAGGCTCAGATAGAGTCCAGGAGGGTGGCCTTCTGGTTTCTCCACAGTCCTCTCTTCAGGTCTCAGTCTAGGACATAGGGACATCACTTCTTATACAAGGATTTAAGGCTTGTGGACATGAAAATCTGCATGAAAATAAATGAGTTCTGTGTCCATGTGGGGCCTAGGAGAGCAACTGTGAAGGTGGGCCTTTTACAGATATTTTTATCCCCATTTTACATGTAGTACCTGGAGGAATCCTCCTTACTCACTGGCTGGTCCTAAAGTGGGTAGCTACTCCACTTTTTAGGTACTGAATGAGATATAACCTCTGTGAAGACTTCTCAGGGTGGTGATGAAAAGACTCTCGAAACTAGAGATAGGCTCTGAGAAAACGAACAGGCCATAAGTTTAATTCGGCCCTAAACCCTCTCCTGATTGCCACTGCCACGTAAGCATTAGGTATACTAAATAAGGACATGTATGTTTGAATTGGCTATACCCTGTTTCCTTGTTCTTTGGGAATGGGAAAGATTTTCGCGCCTAGAATGGAAGCCTGCCTCCCAGCCAATGGGAGTAAGGGATAGTGGCGGGGTGGGAGTTTCTTGTTTGCGTTAAGATATATAACCTTGCTTTGTCCTTTGTGCCTCGCCTCTCTCCTGCTGGTAGTGTGCTGGAGGAGTAGACGCCCCTTCTCATGAGATTGGAAAAAAGAGTAACTTTTTGCTTCCACCTTGAGAAGTCTCTGAATTTAATTGTGTTAGAGTCTCTGTACCACACAGTGCTTTGTCTACAACTCCCAAAACCATCGCTCACAACACCCCCCGCCCCAGCATCAAAAGCCAGGTTACACAGCTGGTTTAAAAACAAAGGCATTTAATGAGTCAGCATAGTAAGAAAAGTAGCAACAAATCACTTTCCCCATGAACCTGGCTCACCCTACCACAAATCAATTGTATCAATTGGAAGAGAAGATACATTGTAGGGAATGGGCGATGAAGAGACACACAGGTAAGCATATGCATGGAGGAATAAATAACTCCTACCTCGACAACTGCAGTTGTCATTACTGTTGTCTTCTAGGTGGCCTTGCCCTGCTTCTGCTGGACCTGCTCCAGTCTCTGTTTCTGGGTGCTTTTCCCCCAGAGATGACTTTGCTAGAAGATTCTCCACTACAATCTCCGAGACCTCCAGCTTCTGGCTCAATTGAAATCTTGGATTGTGTCTTCCTCAGGGAAGGCTGGGCGCTGTGATACTTTTATAGCCTAAATTCTATGGACATTTTCTAGCTCTTTTAGAAAAGGCAGAAATTCTTGCTGAGGGCCTAGCAAAAGCCTTGACTCAGCATGAGTCCTCCTCAGCCTTGGTTCCTGAAACGTCATCTTTCCAGCAAGAAGTTCTCAAGCTTGGGTACAATGCTCTTTAGAGTGAAAAGCTAGCAAAGATCCACAGATTCCTAATCCAAGGGCTTGAGTGCTTAGTTTATGATAAGCATTCAAGAAACCTCCCTAATTTTAATCTCTGAAAGCTAAACTGTAATCCAGATAGTGGTTATTTGCTCAGTAGCTACTAAAAAGCTTTGGGGTTCAGAGTTCCCAAATTTTCAGATTCTGTCTTTATTTTTATCTAATGTAAATGAATGGGTGAGAAAACACATAGAGATAATCTAAGCCTAGAGGTCAAGGTTACTGTCTTAGCTATTCACTTAACCTCATAGGGGCAGCTAGGTGGCTAAGTGGATAGAGTGCTGGCCCTGGATTTCAAACCTGAGTTCAAATTTGGCCTCAGACACTTACTAGTTGATTGGGCAAGTCACTTAACCCTGCTTGCCTCAGTTTCCTCTTTGGATGAAATGAACTGGAGAAGGAAGTGGCAAAACACTGCAGTATCTTTGCCAAGAAAACCTCAAATGGGGTCACAAAGAGTTGGATGTGACTGAAATGACTGAACACCACCACCACCACCACCACCACCACCACCACCACCACCACCACCACCACCACCACCACCACCACTACCACCACCACCAACATAGCATTCATCCTGTTTACTTCACAGGGTTGTTTTGAGAAGGTGCTCTGTAAGTCTTAAAGCACCAGAAGAGTGATGGCTGTCTCATGTCTTGTTGAGGTAGGACAGTGTGGGATAGTAGGAGAGTCTAAAGTCAAAGGACCTTGGCCTCAAATCCTGATACTTAGGACCTTTACAACTCCATCTTTCAGTTTCCTTGCCATGAAACAAAGATGTTGGATTTTACTTGGAGTCTATGAACTTGTAAGTGTGTGTGTTTTAGAATTTTGATAACCATATTTCCATATAATTGGGTTCCTTTATAATCCTATCCATTTTGTTTTAGGCAGTTAACAACCTTATTCTGAGAAGGCGGTCCATAAGCTTCATGAGACTGACTGCTAAAGGGGTCCTGGGATCCCCCCCCAGAGGTTAAGAACCCCTGGGCCAGGCTACCCTTAAGGTCTCAAGATTCCATGTCTTCATGATTCCATTCCTGTCAGCTGGGTAGTGTCTCAGAGAGACTCTCAGTGGGGAGGGAAGGAAGCCCCACAACAGATAACCCATGTTGCCCTTTGGGTCTGGGAACTAGTGGTGGCCTCCTCATTTGTGCCTGAAAGCTACAGAAATGAAGCGTAGCTTTCCGAGTCCTTACTGAACCTCCTGGACAGGCCACAGAATGGGAATGTTACTCCATAAAAGCTGTTCTTTCTCAGTGTTGATCAGTCTGTATCTCTCCCTCCCCCTCCATCCCTCCCCATTTCCTCTTGTGTGTCTGTCTCTTCCCCACTTGTCTGCTTTTCCCCTTTCTCTTCATCTCTTTTACCCTCTGTCTCCCCCCATTTCATTAATTTTTCTTGTCTGCAGTCTGGTGTTGTGGAGATCAATCAATAAGCATTTATTGATCACCTACTATGCACTAGGCACTGGGGATAGAAGGACAAAGAATGAACCCATCACTACTCTCAATGAGCTTACATTCTAATGGGGAAGACAAGTACATGTTAAAAAAATATGTGTATGTAGACATACAAATATATTCATAGCATAAATATAAAATTAATTTCTACAAAGGAGATAAATCCAAGATAGTATGGGAGGGTAGCTTCATGCAGAAGTTGTGGCTTGAGTTATATCTTAAAGGAAAAGAGGGACTCTGTGACTTCAGAGATAAGGAGTCAGCCCACTCTGAACAGGGGGAATGGTCAATATAACATTGTGGAGTCAGGAGATGGAACGTCTGGTGTGTGAGCAAGAGAGAGATGAGTAGTTTGGCTAGATTGCCGAAGGTGGACAGGGGAGTAATATCCTTTGAGGTTTCCAAGATAGGTTGGGGATAGGTTGCTTAGGATTTTAAAATCTAAACAGAAGATTTTCTTTTTTATCCTAGAGGCAACAGGAAACCATGGAAACCACTGAAACTGAATAGGGAACTCGTATGACTAGGTTTGTCTTTAAGGAAAGTCACTTTGGCAGCTGCGTGTGATGAGGTCTAGAGGTTAGGGGTCCTGGGATCCCAAAATCATGACCCCGAAAGAATTCGACCCAAGCCTTCTTTCAGCCAAAAACAAGGTTTATTGAAGATTCACTATATTAACTAGACTGTTAAGGAATCTGAGCATCTGTGGGTTATTGGCTAGATTGTGAAAATCGGCACACTGGCTAGATTATAAGAATCCCAGCATCTTAATGGAGACAAGATGGACCTTATATACAGAAAGTCTGTGGGAAGGATCTAGGAGTGGCCAAGTAGTTTGGGGTGACTCGAGGAGGGGCCTAAGGAGATCTGGATGGAAGTGGCCAGTAAACTGGGGTGAACAGAATTCCTGGGACCTGGACAATGGAGCCTAGCTAGGATTAAGTGTGGGAAATGGCCAGGGGCCATAGGGAGGTAAGACAGTGGAGGGGAGATTGGGTGTAGCCACAATGAAAGGCCAGTTGATGGGAGGTGAATGCCACAGATTTGGCCATGTGGGAAGGTCCAGAGTTTTTCCTTTCTGGGGCCCAGATCCCAACCCCATCACATGTAGGGTAGACTGTAGTGTGGATAGATCCAAGTCAGGGAGACCAATCAGGAGGCTTTTGCAATAAAAGATCAATAAGAGTTTATGAAGAACCTACTTTGTGCCAGGTACTGGAATACAAACACAAAAATGAAGCAGTTCCTTTTCTTGGGAAGCTTCTATTCTATCAGAATGTGCACTGGATTGGGGCACAGAAGACCTGGGTTCCATTTCTGGCTCTGCCCCTGATTTCTTGTGTAACTTTGGTCAAGTCAATGAACCTCTCTGGATTTCATTTTCCTCATCTATAAAATGAGGGAATTAGACTCAATTTATGAGGTCTCTGATAGCTCCATCCTTTTCCATTCCTCACTTACAACATGGTAGACCTCAGGAGGCTGGGCTAGACTAGAAAAAAATCCTACACTAAGAGTCAGGAGACCTAGGTTTGGGTCCCACCTGTGCCATTGACTGTGTCCCTTACCCAAGTTTCCTCATCTGTGAAATGGGGAGAATAAGAAAATAGCTGCTGCACAAAAGCCATCACTGAGGTGAGGTAACCAGGGCTTTGTCTGGGTGGGTGTGGGGCACACTAAGTTTTAGAGGTTAGTGACAGCACTTATAGGACTACAGGAGATAAAAACAACTTTCTTTACTACTTAGCAAAAATAGTGGGCAGCTAGGTGGCGCAATGAATAGAGTGCTGGTCTTGGAGTCAGAAAGATGAGTCTATCTGAGTTCAAATCTGACCTCAGACACTTACTAGCTGTGTGACCCTGGGCACGTCACTTAACCCTGTTTGCCTCAGTTTCCTCATCCTTAAAATGAGCTGGAGAAGGAAATGGCAAACCACTCCAATATCTTTACCAAGAAAATCCCAAATGGGGTCATGAAGAGTTGGACGTGACTGAAAATGACTGAACAATAATAAAAAGCAAGAGTAAGGATTTGAAGATGTCTATTTCATAGACACTCTGGGGAAGGGAGAGCTGTATTTTGTGGATCTTGTCCTGGGTTGCCAGAGCTTGTAGTTAGTAAGGCCTCTTGTAGTGCTTTCTTATAGGGGTGACTACTAGAAGTGGCTGCTGTTTTTCAATTGAATTCAGCCACATTCCCTAAAAGCATGTGGCACCGAGTATGTAAAGGTGAAAAACAGCACAATCTTTGTCATCAAGGGGCTTCCAGTCTAAAAGGGAGAATATGACATGTGTGCAAAGAAATAGAATAGAAGACAAAGAGCGTAAGTGATGCTGAGCATATGGCAAAGGATTACTGGTGGTTTTTTTTTTAATAGAACATAAAATGATAGAGCTTTAGGAAAGGAAGAGTCTTTAGATTGTTATGTTCAAACCTGTCATTTTTACAGATGGAGAAACTGAGTCCAGACAGGGGAAAAGTTCTGCTGAAGGTCATAAGTCAAGGAGAGATCCAGGACTAGATCTCAAGTTCCCTGACTAATTTAGGATGGAATTAGGGAAACATAGCAGGCAGGGAAGGGATGAGAATTGAGGGCTAGGGGGAAGGCAGAGTCCACCCTCCTCTATTTTAGCAGATAAACAGGAAACAGGGATGGTCAGAAGCTGGAAGGGAGCTAGTTCTGCAATATGAGTTTCCTGGAGCCTTTGGGTCTAGACACATAATGCAAAGTAGGGCCTGGGGGTGGCAGTGACTTGAGGCTGAGGGGCCATGGGGGAAGGTTCAGTAGGGCCTGGGGCAGGGAGGCAAGTGGTGAGTCTAGGAGCGACTATGGCAGTCTTGCTCTGAAACTAGAACTGGAGATGAAACTGGAGGTATGGTTGGATCATACCTGGGAGGTCACATTATACAGCTTCCTGCCTCATCTCCATAGGTCCAGTTCCTTCCTACTACCCTGTGGCTATGGCTCAGACTTCCATGGAATTCTCCCAGAGGGCAATGGATCACCAGCTGGACTAATCTAGGGAGTCCTGAGGTCTGGCCTGGGAGATCTTGGTAATTCCCTTCTGTGATTCCCCAGAATTTCCAGAATGGGCAGGATCCAGGGAAAGTAGGCACATGTCTGCCCTCTCATCATCCCCACTTTCCTCATCTAGAGACCCCAAATCTGGGAGGAGTCCCAGGTTGTGGACTCCAAGTTAAGCATTCGTTTCTCCCTTTTCTGGGACCCTCACAACATCCTCCTCTTGGGAAGGAATCATTCCCAGCTTAATCCTGAACCCCCAGCAGCCTTTCCCCTCTTCCTGTCTCGGGGGCAGTTCTATGGCCATCTCAGACCTTTCCCATGCAGTGCCTCCAAGG